AAGTAAGAGGGGTTATTTTAGTCCTTTACATAAATCTGGACCATGTGTGGACTTATTGGTAAAGGAGAATATTGTCTGGATCTCTTTATGAATAAGTCCCACTGATGGGCTTATTTGTAATATGCCCTTTATTTTTTATTTTGTTTTTGCAACTTTTATTTTCTTTATTTAGTTTATTTTAACTATCAAATAAAATAATAAAAAATATAATTAATTAGAAAAAGATTTTTTAGTTTATTTTTATTTTTTTATATTCAACTTCTTTTTTTTTTTTGAATAACTAAAAGTTATAATATATTTACAGTAGAACCTCGATAAATTAATCATCTCGATTAAATAATAGTTTCTCTCGGTCCCGACTCGGTGAAAACGCGTTAAATTATTAACTCGATAATTTAATAATTCGCTAAATTAATAAAATTTCCCTAGTCCCGACTTTATTAATTTATAGAGGTTTAACTGTAATTAATTAAAAAAAAACCTTTTTTATATTATTATTTTTGTTTTCATTTGAATAATTAAAAATAATAAAAAATTAATTAATTAAACAACATTATAAATAAACGGAATAATAAGAATATTTGTGTTTCAAATTTTTTTTGGTCAAAACACATAATAACATCACGAAAAATGGCTCCCGGTACCACATTTTTTAGGTCTTCTAATCTTGTCCCCTCAACCAATTTGTTCGCTCTTACAACTATGTTATCACTCGATGAATCTGTGGACTGACTTACGTTGATATCGAATGGAAAAGCTGTAAAATGACGATCCTAAAATGGTAATGACAACATGATGTGATGTGATCAAGAGCCCAAGTGAAGCTGTGAAAATCAGAATATATATTTGGCTAATAATAAGAGGGTGTATTTTAAGTTTCGATCATCATCGTGCCTGTAGTAGGAAACACACGATCGATTGTAGGATATGCATCATTATCTAATACACGATAATATGTTGGAGAAGTAAACATAGCCACCGAAGAAGTTCATGCCTCCCCATCGTACGTCCCCCGGCCCCCTAAATCTAGGAGACATCGTCTTAGGCATGAGTATCTACGTCTATGACCGAGGCATCTAAGTTTGATGCATATGTACAGGCCCATGTCGATATGTCGATTTTCAAGGGCATAAAGAGCCATTCTGGCCGGGGCATCGCGAGATACGGAAAACTGTTAGCAAATAAGGGAGAAAATAA